ATCTATCTCTATCTATCTATCTATCTATCTATCTATCTATCTCTATCTATCTATCTATCTATCTATCTATCTATCTATCTATCTATCTATCTATCTATCTCTATCTATCTATCTATCTATCTATCTATCTATCTATCTATCTATCTATATACATATATATTTATCTATATAACAATTTATGGATTTTATGTCTACCTATTTATATTTATCTTTGGCATAACTGTCTATCCTGATGACACACATGCACATGGGAAATCATGGATGCCCTCCCTTGCTTGCCTGCTTTCCTCTGGGTGTATGCTTTTCCAGTTCATGTGCATTGTGTACAACCCTGATAATCACAATGACATCGTATCGACTTACTAACCCCTTTAGAATCTCTACCAATTGACCAATGCCTAGCCCTGCACAACTTGTTAGTCTTGTTTTACCAAATGGTGAGTCTTGCTCACCCCATCCTGTAAACAGCATTTCGAATGACTTTTCTGACCGTAGCTTCCAGAAAGGATGAGCATGAAGTGCCATGACCATCTTTCCTCTGCACAGCGGGTCTTTAATCGCTCTGGTTACCCCATGGATGCAGAGGCATACACTACCACACTCTCCCGCTACCAACACAACTGCGTTAAATCGACAGCGATTGCTATAAATAGACAGCCGTTGATCTGCTGGACAGTGTTCAATGACCGATTCTGCGAGTGCACAAGGCATATGTGGAAAACGAGAAAGGAACGAACTGCACTCCACATGCCAAGGTGTGTTCTTCCCTTAACTTGCTTAGTCAATTGGGAGCTGTTGATTTCTCTCTCCTCCCACTCCTCTCACTCCTCCTTCTTGTATGGGCAAGAAGAGGAGGAGAAGGAGGAGGAGGAGGAGGAGGAGGAGGAGGAGGAGGAGGAAGAAGAAGAGGAGGAGGAGGAGCATGGGCTCAGTGCCTACTCATACGACAAGCACAGTGTTGTATTCTGCAAGGTGTAACACCCGTGGCACAATGTGTTCGTATGTGTGGCCATCAACATAATTATGCCATTCTTCGCATGCAGCACTCGTCAGGACTGATGTATGGAAACTGGTGTTTGATGTTGCGGTAATAGTGCCTGATACCCACCTCCCCCCCGGCCCCTGCCTCCCCCCTCCCCAATCCCACCCTGTCCTATCTTTGTAGTCAGGCAGACATGCACACAAGTGTGCATTTCTCTTTACTGTGTAAGAGTACATTCCGGTCCATCTTAGACTGAAAACTCTCTCCATTTTGAGTGGCACTCAAGTTGTGCACTGTATAAAATATTCTGTGATTTTCATTAACCGTTCATTAAATATGTAGAGAACCGATACGGGCCAGGGTAGACGCTAGGTCGATTGGGTCGAGACAGGCGTGAGACGCTCAAGTCCAGAGTCGAAAACTTCGACAAAAAGGATACAATAGCGGCTAAGGTCTCTGAATCCCAAGGCGTGTATTTGGCAAGCCTGATTGACTTTCGTTTAAAGTTTAAACTATCGGGGTCTGAGAAAGTTTGTGAGTATGGCATGGACAGATCAAAGCGGCGGATTGGGGTGAAATATAGGAGCGGCACGAGATGTGCTGCAGCCTGCTGGGGATGTGTGAATGTACAGAGATGATTTCTTCAATTTGTGAACGTCTCTATGCGCATGATATGTTGCGCTTCACTTCCTCCATGGACTAAACCTTTTTGGAGCCACACTCACACCAGCACTTTTCCAAATGTATCTGGCCGCAATCGCATTTATTTCTCTCGAAGAGGGAAATCCACAAGCCAGCTTGTTCCCATGAGCGCAGAGAGGACGCCGGGACGGCAATGTCGCTTTCGCTTGGTGAAACGACTTGCAAAGTTGCAAGCGTGAAACTTGCTGGCATGATGGCATGATGCTGCTGCTGTGCTCTAAAGACAAGCAGTCCCTGGGAACTAGTGCTACGCATAGAGAGCAATTGATTCCACAATGGGACCCTGTTCACTCTGCCTCTGCCATGTGGCATCAATTCCTCCGCTCGCTTAAATAGCTGAAAC